TTTCTGATTTCGGTAAATGTTTTTGTTTTTTGCTAAGTGTGCACACACTTTTGAAACAAAGGAAAATTTTTTCTTCAATAAAAAATTATGTTAGCAGCTACGATGTTCTCTCAGAGAAAGTGTTCGTAGGTTATCGCACACAAGGTATTGAATGATGAAGGTCACAGGTTACAGAAAGCAATGGTGTCCCGAAAAAAAAACAAAATGTTTGGTGTGCACATACTTTTGAAACACACTGGCCGATGCAGGTTCCCAGTGACGGCTTGCGTGGCCCTAATTCTCAGGGGTTACGGTATCGGTTTTTAATAACAAGACACTTACGCCTGTTTAGCTTTTTCCAATTCCAGTTAAATGAGGGGTTTATTACCCTCCTTCTTTATGAAATAAAAAGAATAATGAACTGTCTCTTGGTTCACTTGCTCTTCTCTTAGCAAAAATCATTGCAGGATGGTCGCTTTCTTCGCTTCGCTGCTATGGTCGCGCCTAGACCACTCGCTCTTAAAGCTGTATCTCTTGTTTGGTGGCTTCTTCCTCGATTTCGAGTCGAGCGTGGCAGTTATTGGACAATATTGGCTGCTCTGTCTGCAATTCCTTGAGGTTTGCCACCAAAGAACCTTGGTTCCGCTGAGCCATACTTATGCAGGGTGCGCCGTAAATATGGTAACAATTTTACGGGAGTGCACATCCTTGTTTGGCAGGGCTTTTCCAAATCTGCACCTTATCTTTTGATTGTCATACACCTCAGCTGATATATCTGGCCTTTGGTGCTCTCAACTGGTCAGTTTTCGAGAAATGCTGAAACCTCACAACCATCCAACAGCCTTTCTTCTTCGCGCGCATTTGGGGAGTCCTCTTGCAGGGTCGCTCGTCGTTTCGACATTTCTAGCATGACAACCTCTTGTTTCGCGATGCGTGGATAGACCAACGACAACCTCAAGACAGTCTTTTTTCTCGGTCAGGCCCTTTTTTCCGAATACAATTACTTGGGAATGATTACGCTACGAAACCTGCAGAGACACCAGAAAAATGACTACCGAGTTGAATGTATGCTCTACCTTAAAGAGGATAGTCTTCCCCGAGCAAATACAATTGTATCCAGATAGTTTTCGGAAGCCTTATTTACTTTTTGACGAGAAGAAGTCCGAAAGAAAGAGCAAAANCGAACCTTCCTGCACGCAGCACGCGCTTCGACTTAATTTTATCTGACGAAACGGTGTTCAGAGTGAAAGAAAAGTTCACATTCCAGAGCACACTCATATCTCGCACTACAAGTGGCGAGGAAGGCGAGAAGGGCCGGACCGTTTCTCGTAGCTATTTCCCTCTTCTGTGGTGGTTGGATTGGAATCTGTGCCACCATAGTGATAGCGCTTATATTTGTCGAGAAAATTATAAAAGTTGATCGGAACATCTTCATAAGGGACATTGTTAAGAAGGTGCTGCTCAGGGTCAAAAGTTGTCGCAAGGATACGATGTGGAAACCTCACGTTCTCGCTCATGAATGCTAACAAGACTGGTACTGAGTTGTTTGCCACCCCTGCTTTCAATTGGTCTGCGAATTTTCCGACCCGCAATTCGATGGGTCCATGGGTATAGCATATAGTTGAGAGGAAGGCCTGCGTTTCAAAACACACCACTGTTGCTGCTTTTGAGAAATCGTTTAAAGGAGCCCGAACCGGAGTTTTTCGAGAAGCTCGAGGTGCCGCCGTCGTTGAGTAGCCGAAACATCTTCAGGTTATATTAGTACAGGAAATAGTTATACCAGATCTCCGTGCGTTCATTTCGTTGACACGATGCAATGTAAACAGTTCACCTAAAATCGCCATTTATCAATTTGAATTGCGGGACCGGGCGCCGCTCACCGGGAGCGGGGTGTGCGTGGAATCGTTGATTTGAACCTGGGGCCTTCAAATTGGAAGGGATCCAAGCAGCAGTATGGGTATGCTGAGGGGCGATGCTAGAAATTTACTGCACCCACGGGAAAAAGAGTTTGCGCGGAAACTCTTGTTTGATGGGAGCCCCTGTTGCTTGGAACCTGGAAGATTGAATTAAGTATATATTTATGTTTCCCTGGTCTCATTTACAGCGGTCGAGTCAGTCATTTGGTGGTTGCTCTCGATGTAGTTATTCCATTCATCAACACCAGTCGATGAAATCGAGTTTAGCCCTACCGATAGCGATTTGTTCGATACCATGCCAACAAGAACGTACTGCGTGTTTGCTTGGAATCGATACATCCGATGAACATTGTGTGAGTTCTGGAATCTATGGTATCCCGAAGCTGGGTCGAACTTGTTTGACTTAAGGAAGTTACGGTATTGTCCGAAGCGCGTCAGACTTCTTCACTCCTAAGTGGAAAGGGGGCTGTCAACAGTTACAGATAAAATAATTGTCTGAGCAGATTAACTTCTATGTAGTAGCAAGAAAATAAAAATCCAAAAAAAGGTATGGATGTAAGAAGCTCAAATATTTCTAATGTCGACGTTACTTTGCAGAACCCGTATGCCTCATCGTCACAGACCTCGTTTCCAAATGCTGCAAGAAGTACGACTAATGTGCTGATGAGCGAAGGTAATGCATTTAATTTTCTCAGAGTGCCCCACAAGCATTTCAGCTTTTTTCTCGGAAGAGAACTCGAGTTACAAGTTAGGAGATGAATCCTATTGGCGACTGCTTACAGCAACCTGGTTATTTGCAATTCAACATCAAGTACTAGAAGAGGAGCTAGAATGATTCAATATGCACCTTAACAATCCCTCCACAGACGGAGACACTTTCTTAGAGGTCATCGTACGGTCATTTAGATGCCAGATTAACCAGGAATAACGGCCGAAGAGCCACATAATCACGCAACGGAATGGAATGAGCAAGGTGAAAGGCTGCCCGACTTCATGTCGCCCCACAACATTCATGGTGGTTCGCAGTTCCAGAAGCCCTCTCATTTGCGAGGAACGTGGGAGTCACGTGGTGGACAGTTCCATAATGAAGCAGATCACATCATCTTAAATCGGGGGTTCTGACTGACTAACGTCGCTGTTGTTCTAAAGTTCTACATGGGATCGGACCATCTTCTCGCGCTAAATTCTAATTTTCTTTGATGGAGCCCTAAGACCGACATCAACTGGGATCACACGCCCTCTCTACGAATTCATGGGAGATTCCTTTGTCGACAACATCGATAAGGGGTATTGTAACCGGCTATTCGAACATCTTCACGATAGCGCTGGGAAAGCAGAGAGTCTATAAGTTGCTGAGAGTGATCCCTCTTGGGAGGCTCTCCAGCGTAATCGCGCGAGCTAATCACTATCAAAGTCCGGACGTTCGAAGCTATGCGGAGAAATAATAAAAAATTATATGAATGGATGAGGAGCACTCAATGAAGGAGCCGTAAAATACTGAAAGATCATTTGTAAAACTCTATCAGTTTGTCAGAATTTCGCTAGGCTCTTGAGGCGGTATTTGTCGAAATTCGAAGTGCGCACGTTGCGGAAATCATGCAAGAGTGTGTTACGGTAAAGTAAGGGGATTCAGACAATATTGGGTCGTATCGTTCAATCCGCCCGCGTCTGTAAGCAATAAAATTTTTACACGAGCCATCCTCAAGGGGATTGGCAAAATATTAGGTGAAGGACATGCGAGCAAACAAGGTTTTTGAGAGAGTTCAATGTTATCAGACACACTGCCACAAGACTTACTGAAGTATCGGAAAGTACAGGAATGTCGTTATGTACGATGCTCGTCTATTCCAAAAAGGCCTTGTACCGTCGAGACGGAAGCGGTGATTGGAGCTTCGATCAAATGCGCTCTTCCTTCTCAATATACAGGAATGTTCCATTCCCAAAGATTGCGACAACTGCACGACCAGGAATCTCCCTTTTCAAAGGAAATCATTGTCGGCGTGAACAGAGGGTCCTGCTTTTTCTGTGCCGCCCTCAAAATATCATTTGTTTGTCATTTGGAATGGAAAGACTCAGAAGTGATGGCGGATACTGCTACGCTTCACAGAAGACATCGTTTTTATAACACCAATCGAGCACGCTGGGTGAGTTTGACAGTGCTTGTGGGAAGATCGGCTCGAGACCGAATCTAACGAAGACGATGTACGTGAGAAGCGGATCGGTAGCTGATGCCTTCTTTACGCTAAACGGAAACAGAATTAACGAACATTCGAGAATGCTCTAGCTACGTGCATCTGGGTCGGGATGTCAACACGATTGATAACCTAATAACTTGGGTATATCCAGGTAATGAAGATCACCTTTGTGTGTCACCTTTTTGACACTGCGATCTTTCCTGCTTTGACGTGAGCCTCGGCGATCCGCACTACAAGATGAGTCATTCTCCGCACACTAAGGGGATAATGCTCGAATTTTTTATACACGCAAGTTCAGAAGCGAATACATCGTTCCGCACTCCGTCAATGAATGGAAATCAGGGGTATTGTTGCTTACTCCAAAAAATCGAGGATAATTAGGACCGGACACGTTATGAGATACTGTGATGACCGGCCGAGTGGCGGTCACTGACTAAATCCCTCTTTGCGTCAAATGAGCATCAGAAGGGCAGTGATGTGAGTAAGTGTGATGGTCAGACTTCTTTACAAAAGATCTGAACGAAAGGAATGCTATGTCGCGTGTCCTCGATTGGGAACTATTCACTAGATTAAGCTCGAGATAGCTATGAATGGAGACGTTACTGGCTTCCGCTTGGGTAAATCGGCGATCAAGGGGACGACATTTGGTATTGTGATTAATTTGAAACGAGCAATCTGCCCTANGAAATTGCAGTTCAAAACTTACTTTCCTGGCATACATACTCATGCTGATTTGTTATTATAATTGCCCATTTGAAAGTTGAGATCCATCTAGTTCAAAGCATATTCTATTATTTTTCGATACCAAGTAATTTTCGCCGTACTAAGCATGGTCGAGCAAAATTTCCGGTCTCCTTCTGAACTGATTCGTTTTTAGTTAATAGCTGTTTATCTATTCTTCAGATGCCGGGAAAACGCCTCCAATGCCGCGCAGCCCACGGTCGGGTTCGTTCGAAGCGATGTTCTCTGGTGAAAAGAAAAGTACCAAAAAACACTCTGGAAAAGTTGGCGTGTAAAGCCAAATAGTTTAACGGAACGTTTCAAATTTCCCTCGATTTATAAACAAAGTTGGCGCTCGATATCGATAAATTCTTTAAAGCCATCAGCTCTTGTGAACTTATGTGAGGTCTTTAAACTCAATGAACTGTCAGATCTCAGAAGCGATAGAAGAGACATCTTTGAATTACACGTGTGTCTCGTACCGAATATCAGTATTCTCGTGCAGCATTCATTCAGCTTTCTAAAATAGCGGAAGTCAGCAGTTTTAGAGTCATTCATGGGTGGACGTATACTAATACGGAACACTGAATTTTGACCTGAGATTTCTCTTGCCTCTGCAGAAAGTACTTTGAACACACCTCACACAACAATTTCAAATTTTGTTCTATTGTTGAACAACAATTACACCTCAATGTCGTTGAATCAGGCAGAACTTTTCTTCGTCTGCAAGCAACCTCTTCTGTGATTTTTTCCTGATATAACTGAAAAAAATGAGTGAGCGCTTTCAGACTGGAGCGTTGCGTTCAGCGCTCGACGCACTCCTGTCAACGGTAGGCGTTTAGCACCCACAGGCCCCATTAGCGTCCGCGCCGCATGTGACAACTTTTGAAGCTTGGAACATATTTTCCAAGCAAGCCGCTTTTTACGTTTGTCGCATTACGCCGCACTAGTCGAAAGAGAAAATTTCGAAGAAAAAAAAAAGAAAAAATCACAACTAATTAACCCGTATCGTCGTCTATGGCCACGATTCCATACCGATATCTCGTCGTCTCACTGTCTGAGACAACTCCTTAACGTAATCTAGCCACTAAAAGATGCGGGACCACCAAAAAGTGTGGTACACAGTCCTGCCTCTAGCAGAGTCAAGGGCAAGTTGTAAGTTATCTGTCCTACAAAGTATCAATCGCCATTATTCTGTTTTCATACGGTAGCATCTGCTCTAGACGGCACAGTTCACGGCAAAAGTGGCTTCTGAGTTTTCCCCCTAGAAATACCCAGTGGCCCTCAAGGGTAAAAGGAAGGACGCTGGGGCCCTAAAACTCAACAGCTAGGACGAAGCTGGGGCCCCGTTACCGGATCGCTTGGAATCAACCGGTGACGTCAGTCGAGTGTCGAGGTGATACAGATTGCAATATTCGCTCCAGGACCCACACGTTCAGCACGCAATCAGCTGATCGCCTAATGATGAGGCGATGTTTCTCTCCTTTTCTATTATTCTTCATTAACCTTTTTGGCGCAGCTATCTTTATTCCAATTTTCTACCTCAAAAGACTGAAAAAGACGGACTTTTTTTGCTGTTACTAGGGCTGTTTGTTAACTTATGCTTATGAGTTAATGATTTTTAGAGGACATTTTTGCTTACTGTAGTCGCTATTCGCACCACAACCCATACGTACGCAATGATACCATTGTACAGCTCGTCCAAACGCCCTATTCTTCCTCGTTTTTCTGGTCTCATTCTCGTCCAGTCCCCTTTTTAACGATTTTTTCGAAGCCTTTTTTCATTTTGTAAACACCGTTTCCCGCACTTTCTTCGCCTCTATCGCACAGTTTTCCATCTTGTCTTCCATTTTTCGTCATAATCTGGACTACCCAAAATTATCGTGAACTGTGACTTTAAATACAATTTGTTGAATCCTCACTCCGTTGTCACCGGAGTCACAAAAAACGATCAAGAATTCATTCACCGCCGATTCCCCAACCTTCACAACTCATACTGTATAGGCGGTTCAGTGCTTTTCTACTAATAACTCCGGTAATAACGGAGTAAAAATACAGCAATTGTAATACGTGCGGTCGTTACCGCTATGAAATGCACAGAAGGAAAGTTAGTATTAAATATTTATCTGAACGATACAAAATCCACGTGCTACCTTTGCTGTTGCTTTTGCTAGAAGTGAGGGACCCACTTATCTCGGGGCCGCTTGACCCCGCACCTCTTAGGGGCGTGAGTTAAGCTAAAGTTAGTCGTCTCAGACAAAGAGACGACGAGATAGTTGCGGTGAGGTGATCGTCGCCTTAGACGACGATACATACAGCAAATGCATAACTTTCAATTCGGACCTATTTGTAGGTGCAAAGTGCCTCTTACTGCAAACGTACCCATGGCAAAAATGACAGTGAGATCTGAAGACACTCGCGCGTTCTGTTTAAACAGAAATAGGGAGATGGAGGCGTGAGAACCCATGCGTTTCCAGCATAAATGCAGTTTCCACATATGCGTTTACGTTAATGAGAATAACTGAAATACTACGTGTCATACTTCATGGTTGTGCTCGGGAACATCTTGATCAATCAATGCCCCGAGTCGCAAGGACGGTCTCGTCGTGGGAGGGGCGATTAGCGCGGCATCGCGCGAAGGCCACCTGGTCCGAGTTTGCCGCGTGCCCATCCTGATTCGATGACGCCGTGTGCGCGCCCATGTGCCTTCGCGTGCGCCTTTTTTTCCTATCAGCCGTCCGGTTAAGCAACTAACT